GAAAGAGGAATCCGCATTGACAGGACCACCAAGCAACTTAACACCATGCACAAGACGAGTAATATCTGGAGGAAAGACACCTACGAGACGGCTACGAGGGTCCTCCGAGGGCCAGAAAACTTCCGTTTTCTCAACGTTGACATGGAGGCCGAGATGAGGTCCCTCCGCCAAAATCAACTCTATTACCTTACCTACTACTAAGGTGTCACCAATAATAGTGCCGTCATCCAAATACCAAGCCTGCAAACATAAGTCAAAAGAATCCCTGATTCGGCACACCAACGGATGAAGAACCAAAGCAAAAAGCAAAGGGCCAAGAGGATCACCCTGTTGCACTCCTTGACATGACCATAAGGTATGCTCCCCATAAAACAACCTGGCAGGAGAAGAGTGACAAAATTCAACCCAACGCGAGAGAGCTGGACAACAGAGAACCTCACGCAACATAGCTAAATGGTCAACTAAATTAAAGGCATTCTGAAAATCCACCAGCAACATAGAAAGACGAACATCTCCACCACGAGCCTCAACCAAACGATTAACAGCATGAAGAATAGCCTCACCACCCGCCGGCACCCCAACACCAAACTGAAGACCTCCTAAATAGCTTCCCAAATGTGGACCAATTAAAGCAGCGCCAACCTTTGAAACCAGAAGCCTCCAAACGGTACCCACAGCAATAGGCCGAATACCACCACCAGGCTTAACAAGTGGCGTGAGAGGAGCACTAGCAATATATTCTCCCAACTCAGCAGGACATTTCCCAGCGAGAAAGAGATTAACGACCTGCGTAATAAAGTCCACCAACTCACCTGAAATAGCAATTGCAGCACCACTCAAGCAATCCATAAGGTGTTGAGCACACAAGCCGTCTCTACCGCATGACGTACCACGCGGAAAACCCCTAATCTGGTCCAAAACAACAATAGGAGTAGCAACAAGGTGATGATCAACAGGGATATCCGGTAATATAGGAGCCGAAAAGGAAGGATTCTTAGCTTGTAAATCTACAAGAGTTGCATCATTATACGGGGCAAGACCAGAAGACGAAAGAACCCTAATTGCAGCAGTGTAATGTCCGTCACAAATCTTTCTCTTACACTGCTTAATATTACGCTCAAACAAATCAAGGTCCTCATCAGCATCTAATAAAGGTGGAGACACGTTAGCCAATGTGTCCCGCACAAGCAGCACAGAACCACCAGGCTCACACCAAGAACGAATAGCAGCGGAGATACTCTCTTCCCGCCGTTGACGCCTGACACCCGAAGACCACTCACGATTACTCCGCGGAGAAAAGGTTTTAAGGACACAAAGAGGTAACATAAGCAATTGAATCCACCAAAAGATGTCATTAGGCTTGCAAATCACCCTATCAAGCGCTCCTTTAAGAACTCGAGAAAAACCCAAGTGACACTTTGGAGGTATAGATTTCACTGAACGAAATCGCTTAGATAGCAAACTATCAAGGAGAGCAACATCGAAAGCAAAATGAGGCACACGAGGCACACTAGGAACAAGACCAAAAACCTCCGAAGAATGACCCTGTGGTTTAGGAAAACCATAAAGAACAAACCGAACAACACCATCCCCCGAACCAGGTGGGTCCACAATATCATCCGAACCGTGACCACGTTGACACTTCGTACGAAAAGTATGAGTCTTAAAACACTCCCCACAATGCTAAATGCCCATACGACGAAAAGTTGACTCCGCCTCTAAGAAAATAGCCAAATCAGAAGTAAGAGAGCTTCGGGTCATATCCCGCGCATCCGCACAATAATGGCGGTAACGGAGATGAGCGAGCCCATTACCCCTGCCATCTTAACACCCATTAAGACTCACGAACGGGCAATGAAAGAGAACACCAGGAGGCATAACATCCACCGCAACTTGCCACAAGAGAACCGCAATACAACATAATGCAAACTGCACCAAAAACGTCCTAAAAACGTACCAAAACTACACACCTAATACACACCAACACGGCACCAAAAACAACACCAAATCCACACCAAAACTGCACCCAAAACAGCACCAAATTCACTCCAAAACTGCACCAAAATCACCCCAAAACTGACCCAATAACTGCCTAAAATTTGCACCAAAAACGAACCCTGAAAAGGATGTGTAAACAGCCAGAAAATGCAACAAAATATCCCCTAGAAACTGCAGCAACAAAGCTCCTAGAAACCGCAATAGAAATAGCACCCAAACAACCCTTATAACAGCAAGAAAATACGACAGAAAGCTTGCCAAAATCACGCCTGAAAACAGAGCTGAACCACGCTTGAAAATATAGCAGAACAACGCCAGAATTTCACCCCAAACCGCACCTAAAATCCGCTTGAAAACGCACTAAAACCGCCCAGAAACAACCGATCAAGAACACGCCTAGAAACTACACCATTAAACGAGCAAATCGCACCAAAAAATGCCCAGAAACCGCCTGAATTTTGCTTGAAAAACGCCTGACTTGAACGCTTGAGTTATTATTATTATTATTATTATTATTGTTATTGTTATTATTATTGTTATTATTATTATTGTTATTATTATTATTATTATTATTATTATTAATGTTGTTGTTGTTGTTGTTCTTATTATTATTGTTATTATTATTATTGTTATTGTTATTATTATTATTCTTATTATTCTTATTATTATTATTGTTATTATTATTATTATTATTATTATGTTATTATGTTATTATGTTATTGTTGTTATTATTATTATTATTATTATTATTATTATTATTATTATTATTATTATTGTTATTATTATTTTTATTATCATTTTATTATTATTATTATTTTATTATTTTTATTATTTTATTATTATTATTATTATTATAATATTATTATTATTATTATTAATATTTTGTTATTATTATTATTATTATTATTATTTTATTATTATTATTATTATAATTATTATAGAAAAATAACAAAAAGCTACAAAGTCAATTGATTTACAAGAAATTAGTGAGGAGCCAAGATACAATCTGGGCCCCCACCCTCTACATATAGCGAAATCGATCTTGTTAAAGATGTGGGCAGCTGCACGAGCACCTATATCCTGAGTCCTAGCGAACGCTTGAACCCACTTCAGCAACACAACATCATCTTTTTCTAATTACCCCAATGAAGAAAAGGAGAAAGGAAAAAAACATAGCCAATAGCCCTACAACGCACCCCATACTTGTCCCATTTCCATTGAGCAGCAACCGACACAACACGACCAGGAACAAAGTTAGACAACCCTTCTTCCTAGAGGCACGTTAAAATAAGTATACTTGAATATAAAAAAAATTCTTTCTCTAGGTTCCTAGAGGCACGTTTCAACCCTCCTTCTTTCCTCAGCAGCCACCTCTTTATTTCCTACACCTTGTTCTTATCATCTCCACCGCCTAAAATCACCTCGCCATTTTTGTCAAAAAAGGCATCTTCAATATTTAGAAACCATAATCCATTTAATTCCAATCAACATTTTTAACCTTCGGTGAATTTTTTCAACAATTTAGTTGTTGAGAAATTTATAGACGATCGGAATTTCTCGGAATCCAGAATCCAACAATGGGTTTCAGAGTAATGGACTAAATTTGGATTTATTTCAGTTGGAAAAGTGAACAACCGTTTTCTGTTCAATTGTAGTGATGAACGCGATAAGCTTGCCTTAATTTTCCAGGGGACTGCTGCCTACCAAGCCGCCCTCATCGTCTTCAAGTCATGGAGTCCAGGTACTTCTATTAAGGACATTAAGTTTGATCAAGCAAACTTGTGGGTTCGATTGGATGACTTACCCTTAAACCTATACGAAATTCGTCCTATTAAGTTTGTTCTTGAGAAATTAGGAAGAATTGTATGTTTTGATGTGAACTCCCCTTTTGCTGGCACTATCTGTTCAATTAGAGCATACTTGAATGTTCCTATCTCAAAGTCTCTGCCCCTCGGGTTTTTCCTTGATTATCAGGTTTCTGAACCCAAGTGGATCAATTTTAAATTCAAAAATGTGTTTATTTTTTGTTCGTCTTGCGGGAAAATTGGCCACAAGAAGAATAAGTGCAGAGCTTCTCCAAGAACGATTAAAGCCTCACTAAACCATACGAGTTCTTTCTTTGACACTACTATTGACTTAATTCCTACTATGTCCAATAAGAACATCGGGCTCAAAAGAACTGAGAATTTTAGGACTTCCAATTTAATCTTACCTGGAATTTTTACCAAAATTTCAAGGCCAAAACAAAAAACAAAAAAGGATACAAGCTTTTCTCCTCGAATTCCCACCTTTGCTTTTGTACTCCTAAAGAAACGAAAACTAGATTTTCAATCGGTCAACCCGCAAGAAGCAAAGAGACTTAATTCTAAAATTTTATTAGCGTCATCCCTACCCATTACACCCCCAGGAAGCAATTTCAATTTGGATCCAAAAATTTTTGACTCAAACTTGAACTTGTCATGGAAGCGAAAACACCATGACTCTTCCATTTCGACCACCAGGAAAAAGTTTAAATTATTTGTGGTGCCCCTACTTCATAATAAAATATGGGAGAGTCTCGAAGCTGAGTCAGTTACTAGTAGCCACTACTCTAGTAAACCCCACACCAGCTCTGAATTTGAATCGGATACTAGTAACTTCCCCATTCCCCAAGACTCTGGAGAAGGTTTCACCTTTGCATTTTCTGACCTTCCTTTGGATGCCTTCATTTCACCATCTCATCTTGCTTGAATTCATATGGACTATGGTGATCCTCCCTTCTATAAGCGTGTGAAGAAAAAGATTGTGAAGGGGTAAGCTTCTAAAAGACAACAAGTGAAGAAGAGTTTGTAAACAACTTTTGACAGAGAGCATGTGTAAGATCCTTTCACTCCAAATGGGGATAGTAAGGATACTTGCTCTTGTGGACCGACTCCATTACATAAGATAATCACTCTTGTGGATCGCTCTTCATTGGTTTATGAGGGTTTGGTGGCTCCCCGGTCTGAGCCACCAAGGTATCCATGAATATTGCAACCTGGAACTATAGGGGTCTTGGGGAGGCGGACTCCCTTAAAGTTCCGTATGTTTCATCTTTTGTTCGCTCTTTTGGTGTAGATATCATGTTTCTCATGGAAACTTTAGTATTTGTACAGTGTGCTGTACAAAAGTTGCCGTTGTTAGGTTTTGATGTGTTTTGTGGTTCTGATGCTCTAAGTCTTAGCGGGGGTTTGGTAGTCTTTTGGTTCTCCCAGGTTGTTGTTGAACCTATTTCTGTTTCTCCCCATGTTATCTTTTGTCAAGTGATTGTTCCTGGTCAAGAAATTAAACATATCATCTTTGTGTATGGATCACCCCATATTTCCTTTCGAAATGCAGTTAGGGCAGAAATCACTAATATTTTACGTATTGCACCAAATGTAGTTTTATTCGGGGATTTTAATCAAGTTGAATATTTATCTGACAAGGTAGGGGGTTCATTAGCTATTCCTGGTCGACATGAGTTTTTGGACTGGAAACTAAGCTCGGGATTGCTAGATATTCCCTTTTCTGGACCATCTTTCACATGGACTAATGGTCAATTGGGAAATCCTATCTTTGAAAGGCTTGATAAGGGTTATGCGACGAGGGCCTGGATGGACACTCATCCTTAGGCTTAGATTTGTCATCAACCAATCTTGTTTTCAAATCATACATCAATTATTTTAAGTGAAGTAAGGTCTCGAGGGCCAAGGAAGCGGCCTTACAGGATTGAAAACTGGTGTCTAGAGTACCAAGAGGTTGCTTTACTTATTGCTTCATCTTGGCAGATTGGGTTTCCTAGCTCGCAGATGTTCTCTTTTTAGCGTAAACTGGATAATCTTAGTCATCATCTTCTGTCTTGGTGTGTTACTCACAAGCGGTCTTGGGGCATAGACTAGAAGGATTTACAAGATTCGGTTACTTCATCGGCTAATAATCTAGCGTCTTATTTGGACCGTTGTCGATTCATCACCACTTGTGGGGACAAGGTTTCTCAAACTCGAGCCACCTTTTTGTATTGGAAACAACGTTCTAAACTGAAATGGGATGCTTTGGGTGAATCTCATCCTCGTCTTTTGTTTAGCAAGCTCGTCGTCGTCGAAATAGGATTCACAGCTTAAAGGATGACTTTGGTGTTTGGGTTTTAGATTTGGCTGGGGTTTCTTATCTCCTTGTGGATCATTTTTCTAGTATTTATAATTTAAGGCGGATGTACACATCCGCCCAGAATTTCCGGATCTACCTTGGTGGATCCGAAAATTCTGGGCAGATGTCTGTTTATTTATTCTTTTTTTTTGTATTGTATTGTATTGATTAATTAATCAAATTTTTTTTTTTTAAAACCAATTAATCAAATTTATTAATGTAATATTTGTATTATTATTATAATTTATATTGTGATTATTATTTTTGTGATAATTTGAGTAATTAGTATTAGTATTATTAGTTAATATTAGTTGATGTTGTGATATTAGTTAATGTTAATGTTAGTTAATATTAGTTAATGTTGTATTCTTAGTTAATATTAGTCAATGTTGTATTCTTAGTTAATATTAGTCAATGTTGTGATATTAGTATTCTTAGTCAGTGTTAGTTAATTTTAGTTAATATTAGTTAATGTTGTGATATTAGTTAATATTAGTTTATTAGTTAATGTTGTGATATTAGTTAATGTTGTGTATAGTTAATATTAGTTAATGTTGTGATATTAGTTAATGTTGGTTTATTTATTATTTGCTTATTATTAGTGTTTAAAATATATTATTGTGATCAATCTTATTATTTAACTTCTGATTAGTGATATTATAGTGTTATTATTGTTTTATAAATATTGTTATTAATATTATGATAAAAAATAATATTGGAGAATTTTGTGTGTTTTCTTTTATTTTTACAGGATTTGGAGTCTGAAGACGGCGGTGATGGTGTGAATTATAGTGTAAATTTTGTCACGGACACGTTATTTCCAACGTTTGATGATGCAGTTAAATGAGCGGATGCTGTTTCCGTAAATCTGGGATTTATTTTGGTTAAATCGTCTTACAACAAAACCAGAGATGGTCGGCCATATCGATATTTGAGATGTGATCGAGGACGGAAGAGCAAGCTGAGAGATTTTGAGAACGCAATACGAGAGGACACAAACCAAAGCTAATGGTTGTCCTTTCTAGATCAAGATATACTATGAATTCATCACAGACAGTTGAAAGATCCGTGCAAAAAATGATGAAGCTGGGACCCATAACCATCCAATGATTGTGTATCAGATAAAATTAGTGGTTTGAGCCCGGATGCAAAAAAGGTTGTGCGTGACATGACAAAGTCCAAGGTTGCACCGCGTAACATCATGGTAACTATTGCAGAGTAATTTCCTGATGATCATCCAAAAATCAGACGCATTTACAATTGCCGGAATGACTTGAGAACGGAGATGTCTGAAGGCAGAGGAGTTGTTCAGCAATTTCTTCATTTGGTGAGACAGAGTCAGTATATTTACAGGGTCATGGCCGATGACCTCGGTGTTTTACAACATGCATTTATGGTGCACCCAATCACGGTAAACATACTACGCACATACCCACATGTAATCGGTATGGATTCGCCATAAAAGACCAACCGATACAAGATGCCGTTCTTTGAGATAGTAGGTGTAACCCCTACAAATCATAATTTCCTCGTTGGTTATGTGTTCATGCGCAACGAGTGCACGACAAGCTATCTGTGGGTGTTGCAGAGATTAAGGGAGTTAACTGGGTATGATAAAGAACCATCGGTATTTTTGTCAGACTGTGAACTTAGCCTCTGTGCGGCATTGAGAGAAGTGTTTCCAGGGACGTCGCATTTACTTTGTCGATGGCACATTAACACAGATGTGGAGGCTAGGGTGACTGATATGTTCAAAAATAAGAAGATCGGTGCGAGTTTTAAAAATGGCCAATGGAAACGTATCATGGATGCTACAATCGAGGCGGATTATAATGTTGTTGTAGATACAATGAAAGCTAGGTGGGCAAGTTATCCGGCAGTGATTACTTACGTTGAGAGAACATGGCTTTGTCATAAAATCAAATTTGTGACACTTTAGACGAACCAAGTTCTTCACTTTGGTAACACGAGTAATTGTAGAGTTGAGAGCCAACATTCAGCAGTGAAGACGTGGTTTGAATCATCGACAAGGTTCGTTTTTATAATGTTGTAGTTGTTGTTTTTTGCTTCGTTTTAGTAATTTTAATTAAAAATCATAATGTTTTTTTATAATCTGAATCAACGGTAGGTTCTTTGGATACCGTATGGGCCTAAGTACATTGTCATATTGGTGATCAAATCATTGCAATTCGTAATGGTTTGGAGGCATCAAGATCGAAAATTGGTGAGAAGTACAGACAATTGCCACTGTCACGTATAAATGGCAAAGTGTCTCAACATTGTTTGAAAATTCTCGATGATGAGACGAGAAGGATGAGGAAGTTGAGTTACCAGGTGTATGAGCGTTGTGGATGTGCAATGCGTGTGACCCATGGTTTACCATGTGCTTGTCAAATACATGATTCGCTAGTTGCACAGTCAGGCTTGTTTAGTAGGCAAATTCATCCATTCTGGAAGATCTTGGTTATTGGTGATGGTGTTGATATACCTGTGTTCGTTAACGATTCAACCAAGGAAGCTGCACATTTTCGTTCCCTGGTTGATGAGGTCATTAGTAGTGATCCTGCTATACTTCGAAATGTACCTCGCATCATTGAAGAGGAGCTGCATCCGGATCATACAAACCTTGAAGAACCACATGTAAACCACAATGTTCGAGGTCGACGAAGGAACAATGATACCAGGCGTTATCCTTGTTATTTCGAACATGTAAACTGTCAGAACACTCAACGTGGTACACAACAAACAGGTACGACCTCAGGTAAGTCAAGAAATTATAAGTATTTGCACTTGTGAATTACACGCCTATTGTGAATTACACATATTTCATCTTGTTGCGTACTAATAAATGACCATTAATTTTGTGCGGAAGATCAATGTGACATCAGTCAATGCAGGTATTTACACTTGCTTTCAGGACTGATGTTGCTGTTGAGTCCCTTAGGTTTTGATTGATAGTTTTGAATGATGACAAACAGCTAAGGGAAACAGGTCTTTGAAAGTGTTCAATACAGTTGGGGGAACCAACTAAAATAGAACACTGTTTTCCTAGATAAGTTATTGATTATATGAGTTATCTATTGAACTAACTTATCTATATACAGGAAACAGTTAGATGATAAATGTGCTATGTACTGGTGGGGAACCAGTATGAACCGTTTCCTTGACTGCTATGCGGAAAAGCAGTCACATACTCTTTATTGTGCATTAACCATGTTACATGTGCAGTAGTTGAGTTGATTCCAAGACTTGGAGCATAGAAGCCTTTCGAAGATATTTCGAAGAAAGATTGTTTGCTCATAATAGAAGTATTCAAGGAAGATTCAAGTCTTGAAGATTACATGAAGAAAAGACGATTTATGCTTTAATATGTTATCTAGGTTTTCATGTAATATGCTCCGTAGTATGCTTGCATGTTTGGGTTATATAAGTGCTTAAAAGTATATTGAAGTATGATATGAAATCTGGTACAAAGTTGGAACAGGTTTCATAACATGTTTCAATTCAGGGAACCAGGTCGGGGAACCAGGTTCACTGTACGAAATATTCGAGCTGCCGTTTTGGAAAAAGATTTTACAAAAAGATTTTTTCGAAAAGATTATTTTGAAAATATTTTGTGCAGCTGGAAATAAGATGAAATATTCTTGGTTACCTAAAAACTAGGAGTATTTATCTTAATTGATTCTATCTTTGTGATTAAATCAAATAAGATAAATACTTTCCTAAAATTACAATATATCTTATTCTCTAAGATTGTGTGATTTAAGGAAACTAGGTTTTAGGAATCTAAGCTTATATAAACTCATCTTATTTCACATATTTCGTGTGCCTCTCCAGAAATTAAAAAGAGCAATTATTTGAGAGCATATACTTAAGCACTAATCCCATTCATCAAGTCATATACAAGAGCATTCTAGTACAAAAACATTTTCTCTTAATTAGCTTCGTAGAAGTGAGATCAAAGGAGAGTTCTTGATTCTTGTATTGAGTCTTTAACAAAGGGGTTAAAGGCTGGGTGAGTGTTTGTGAGTTCAAACACATTGGGCTTACGAGTGTAAGTCGAGAGCACACTCGGAGTAGAGTGTGGGGTAGACTGGTTCCCGGAGTAGGGAAACAGTAGAGTGTTCTTTGTCTTTGTTTTTCGGAGTAGATTAATAAAGGACTTAGGATAGGAGGACGTAGGCCTGAGTTGGCTGAACCTCGTTAAATTTGTTGTGTTCTTTATTGCTTTGTTTTATTCCGCTGCATAAGGGAACCAGCACAACTGGTTCCTTACACATAATCCGAAAAGAAGCAAAAATCGCTAACGATTACTTAACACTCAATTCACCCCCCCCCTCTTGAGTGCCCATTGAACCTTCAATTGGTATCAGAGCCTAAGCTTCTCGAAAGAGTAACATCTAGAGGAGTTAAGAATGAGTACTCAAGAATTAAGTGCAATCGGTTATGACAACAAGTCACCCAAGTTTAATGGAAATAATTATGC